TGCTTTGTTAGAATCTAGCATGATGCACTTAACTATTACTTTTTCAGAATCTAAACAGTGAATGTTCAGAATGGCACGTTTTTACTTTGTTTTTGTAATTTTGTTTCTGGGTTAAAATACTTTTTAAAATTTAGCTGGTCATTCGAAAGTCATTATCATCCTACTTAACATAATACTGGTCGATGGATTTGGTTTATTTCGATATAAGTACTGAGTGAATAAAGTTTCAGGCTTCTTATCCACACTCATTTATATAAGCACATCTGTGTCAAGGCGAATAACGGCTAGCCAACGCTCATCCTGGAATAGACTAAAATGTGTCCGCTTTTCACTGTGTCGTATTTATCGTAGTTTCTGCAGTTTCTCTTGTGTTTTATGTTTTCCTTGCATTTCTTTGTCGTTAGAGCTTTGAGATTTCACAATAATTGTCGTACCGGCTTATAGGCTGTACTTATATCTAATGGTCTTACAAAACTGTTTGTGATCTTACAGACGTTCTTCGAATCGAGTAACATTACACCATAGCTGATGTTCAACAATGACTTTGTATTTGACATTATGTTTAACAGACATATCTTGTTGATTTTTTTTGTGTCACACCATTTTTCCGAAATGTGTACATTTTCATTTTTTGTGATGTCTTGATGTTTTTACTGTTTTGAGTAGTTTTTTGTAAACAACATATTTTTTGCGTTAGTACGTTGCCACTGCTATAAGTGAGTAATTGACTAGTATGGTTTGTTCTTTCGCATAATCAGTTTCAAGTTTTTTTGTGTTGAGTGAATGTTCAATGTTTTCAGTGATCTTTGTCAATAGATTTGAAGTTAAACGAAGTTCATATGAGAGAATGGTGCATTAAGGTTCAGTTGGTCAGCTGACTTTACCATAAAAATTGAAAGGGATCATCGAGTTTAAACGTTTTGGTGTGAATACGTCATAAAAATTAAAGTTTGGTAAAATGTAAGGGCATTGGGTCAAAGCGTCTTCTCTTCATAGGCGGCCTGCTTGAATATCTGGGCTACCTGTTCCTTCCATCTAAATATTTCGTCAAGTTATCTGTTTTCTTGTTTGTTTTAACACACTATTATGTCTTTTGAGCTCACAACCTATTCAGGCGCGTTTACGAAAAGTTTTCAACCTTTCGCTGTACGGATTGCAAAAAGGTACAACCAGCGACATCATGGTGGCTTGCAATATGCATTGAAACAAATGAACATTATTCAGATGTCGATTATCGAACTTTTAACAACTAACTGGCCATCACTCAATATTTATCGTCAGGATCGATCAATGTATAAGAAAAAGAAAACTTGTTGAAATACTTTATGCTGAGAATTCAATAGTGTACCACAAATATAATGTTGAATAAAGCTTATAATAATAATATAATAATAATATAGTTAAATATTTTTCAGAATTGAAAGTTCTAATGATCATGTCTCGCATTTATACGTCTTCAGATAATTGAGGAAGCTCGGTTTCACAACTTATCAGAGTACATGGAACAAGTGGAAAATTTCTTTGATTTACAAAGCGCTAATCTCCTGCCAAAGCCAAAGAAACATGTAAGTCAATGAGAATACTTCAGTTGTATTTAGTCAATAAATTAAACTTCGTTAACTCATTGATCACATTTCATTCTGTGATTAATGACAATACCTGTGTTGCCCTTTATGAAATGTACTTGATCAAATCCAATCTGAATTAAGATGTTTTCTGTTCAAGTGAGTTTATGAGTAATAAAGATTCCCATTGCGAAAATTAGAACAACACATATAAGCTAACAATTGTTTTCAATTAGACCGTCATCGGGCTTTACTCTAATATACATGAATATTTATACGAAAATGTTAAACCAATCAAGGCAATTTGGGTCAATAATCACAATGAAATGGACTAAGTCAACACACATAATAGATAAAAGTACAATTTGATAGTAGAAAGACAGGTGTAATGATAGTTGTAAGAATACAAACGGAAAAAGGCGGATAATTGCAAACAAATAATAAATGTTTAAATAAGGTTAATGATAGAATAATAATAATAGTAAAGAAAAAAATTAAAAAATTAATCTTTAGTTAAGTTAGTACTGACTATGGAAAAGATAGGGGCGTTACGAATCTCTTCTGTACACATAAATTGGGGTTATATGTACGAATTCTTATGGCTTCAAAATTATGTAGAAGGCGGGAACGGACTTCATTGGGAAATGATGGAGGTATACGATAGGTCACTTGAAATGATTTCGATTTATCTACAGCATGACCGCTATCAATAAGATTTGCCAAGAGAGAACTTCGTATTGATTTTATCTGGCCTTTTATAAACCGATTTGTAGATGTTCACTCATTCGTTGGTTGGAAGGATTAAAAATATACAAATAATCAAGTAGGAGGGTGAAGTCATTAAAGATGTTTTATGTGCACGAACATTGATCTTATTAACGTGAATCGTCATACTTTTCGTGATGTGAAAGGAAATGATTTTTGAGGCATAGCATATGTGCGATGCACTTTCACGGATGACGTTGTAAACCAAATTCCTGTAGAGTTGATGACTAGTATCGAGCAAAGCGTGATATGACTAAAGATGAAAATTCAAACCTAATTTGCTAGTTGAAATGTTTTTACTCAGAAAACGTCACTGATAAAATTGGATTTCCTTATCATCTTTATCTGCATGGACATTTACTAGCCGTCGAACATCATGATGAGTGTTCGCTTACATCAAGACAAATGGACATATGTGTGTACGCGTCAAAGCGGAAAACTGTTGTCATATTGGATAAAAATAATAAAAATAAAAAGAGAAACTTTTAAGCCTAGAACTCGAATGAGTCGAGAATAGTTATACAAACATTAACCGATCCAATTCATTAACCCATTAGGAAAGTCGTGGATCAAGAATCAGGTGACGTCAATAATCACTGAAGACGAAGATTGACAGGACAAGCTGTCAGTAGCAAGTGGATAAATTCCAACATCTCACTTCTATTTAAAGTTTATAGTAATGATACTGCATACTTTATATTATAATTCATGGACTACTTTATCATGTTTATTAAACGGAATGAATCTGCTTTGTCGCTTTTGGAACAATAGTTGTACAATTTGGATTTGTTCGTGATTACAACAATATTCAACAATCTACAAAAATTTCATTCCAGCTGAACTATGTAAATTATACAGTCTATAGAAACAATGTTTATCATAATAACGTGAAGTGTAGTGGAATATAGTGTTTTGTAGACAAGGCGTGACGATTTGAGACAGTTAGATGCAATAATGAATCAACTTTGTGTATCTACACACCATATCAATTATCCTGCATACAACCTTCACAAAGCATGTAACTTTCCCTGTGGTTATCACTTCACTTCACGAAGTATATTAATTTGGAATGAATAACTGGGATAACAACTGTTGTGTGTTACCTTTTTTGCAAACATTTCCTAGTTAACTTAGTATCATATGGAGTAATACCTAACTTTTTTATCACCAAGATAAGTGACACAATACAAATGATTCAGAGACAAACAGTAATGCAAATATAATCCATTCTTCATTTCAGATTACAAGTACGTGAATAAGTTCTTATCTTAGTCCATGACACATCCTCATTCTCTAGCAGTCGTTGATTACTCAGTCACTAATCTAAGAAAAATAAGCCAGTAGTTCAGTGAACGAATATAAATGAAAGTGGAATTAAACCATGAATTTAGGAAATATGCAACTACAAAATCCACTTGGTGTTGTTCGTTTATATGTTCCCATTGTTATCTAGGACCGCAATTGATTGATCTCTTGGTGTCATATGTGCATCCTGTGAGGATTGCATCCATATTGTCTTAAGTCACTAGCTCGCAGTTACATCCAGCTGACGAGTCCCAAACAGGACGAAAAGTGTGTCCTGGATTCTACTACTCGCCAAATTTGTAATTACTGTCATAATTTATGCTTCGTGTCACGCGATTTCCGTTATTTTAATAAAGATGTAATAAGATACTTGTTTTGGCAAATGAATTAAATCAAATTCACTTAATGATATCAAAACATCCAATTAATTTTTCCATTTTGAAATGTGTACCTCACCAAATTGCTAACTAATCTATCGAAAATCCCGGTAGGTTGACTGAAGACGAATGTATTATACTGTGCTAAACTCTTCATTATATCAGCACTAAGTTATCATTAAAAGATAGTACACACAAAGTTGCACCATACAAAAATCATTCAGCATTCTAATCGAGACCATCAAGACAATGTCAAACTGACCTATTGAGATATGTAACTCCAGTAATTATGCTTATTTGTTGTGGTGTAAAGGAAACGTGTGACATTTTATGGGCAAGAACTGGCATTCTTCTGAAAGATTATCAGTGTTTCAACATACAATGTTTCGACCTTATGATACCAGTTCAATGAGAAACAATATTGATTTAGTTAAGAATAGTTAAATATTCTTCGAGAACATTTTGTTAGCAAACATGTTTGGCAAAATGCTGCGGAATATTCACTCATCATTGTAGATTTGAGGATGTGGAGTTTGATTGCTTACATTACAGTTCAATATAGGGTTGACAGTCATTAAAAATTTGAGAGCAGCAGAATTGTTTCATTCAAGAATTGATCATAGCTCATTAGTCTAGAGATTGAGCTCTCCTAATGTGTTTTTAGTTTATAATTGAGTCGTTTGTTTGAATTACAATATAGACCCATAATAGAACGAGATAAGTGTCCTATATATATTAGTTTTCCACTGTTGTTTAACTGAGTCCAGCTCATAATGCAAACTATGGGTCTCAGAGAACTCACTTATATTTCAGTTTGAAGAGTTCGGTTTGAATGAGCAAGAATTGTAAGTAATGAGAACAAAAAATGTTTCAAATGTTATATTACATATGATTGTATCACTTCATATTCAGACCGACTACTTTATCATTATTATTATTCATATTATGCGAAATGAATTTGCTTTGTCATTTTTGGAACTGTTAGGACATGAGCGAAGAGAGATTTGGATCAGTTTCTGAAAGAATCATCAGAAGAAATAATTCTGTTCAGGCTAAGCGAAATGTTTATTTGGCGACAGATGATCCTAATGTTTTCACTCAACTACCCTACAGTTATCCAAACTACACTGTCTATGGTAGTCCATTGAGGTCCCAGTCAGCTAATTTGAATATGCGGATGTCAGTTGGTTCAATGAATAATGTAATTGTTGACGTTATTGCACTTTCAATGACTGATTTCCTAGTGTGTACATTTTCATCGAATGTAAGTGATATACTTTGACTTCCATCGTCAATATTAAGTTGTCTCTTTTGACTGGGATTGTAAATAAATAAAGTTGGATAAATAATTCACGTCAATTTCACAGAAGTTGTCATTAGCGCAAGATTGAATGGAAATCATTCACCAACATTGATCACGAAATGTAGAGGTCTTTCACTAACCTAATTTATGGCGACTTCCGCTAAATTTTTTTGATAATCTATGTGAGCAATTGATAACGGTTTATCTCCTAGCTCTCTATGAAACGTATCTTTTTAGATGTGAAAATAAAATCATGGAATGAGAGAGCAACCACTATTACGTTGAAAATAATCAAAAATAAATCGTAAAGTTTATCTACTTCAAATATTATCAGCACAACGATTAGATCGCGTTCATTAAAATATAGTTGTGAATTCCCTCTTGTCAAATATCGTACTATTTATCACAACCTAGTTACAATTACAAATGTATAATTACAAATTCAGGTCGAAAGCGAATAACGTTTACATCAATCCTGCATCAATTCCTATCTGTGATCGTTGTTCCCGACAGGGAATGAAATAACTACACCGCTTTTTTTCAAAAGTTTATTCGAAAAACAATACATGGCTTTTGACATATACACTTGGAGATTTCGGTTCTAATGTGTTTCACAAGTCATAGTAAACTGTTTTGAATATTCTACCTCTAGAAGTTAGTCACTAGTGAGCATCGATGATCCTGAGATCGAATTCCACGTGCAGAATCTTGGATGCTCACTGTCGAAGAATCCCATACAAAGTCAAAATGGCCGCTCAATGCTTTCAGGTTTTAAAGGTGATTGTACTTAGATCAGTTCATGATTTTGATGATATTGAACAATTTCCGCCACCCAGAATTGAATGTATGTATTTTAAAGTCAGCGGTTATAAAATTTATTCACAATATTAATCCATTAAAACACCGTGGTTGAAATTCATTCACAAAATTTGATGAAATATTCTGATACCCTAAGTAAATATCCTAACTGTTCATATATGATCTTATTGTTATTTTTTTAGGTTTGTCGTTTAGCCTATGAGTTAATGCAAACACGTCATGATGACTTGGGTGATGCTACACAATTGTTTCATTCAATCGATATTTCATTCCATCAAGAAGATTACCGCAAAATGAAATTTGATGTGATCATTCCAGATATGAATGGGCATTTAAAGTATGGTGATGTAGTGGAGATAATCAAAACGTACTGGAACGGTTCAGTGTCAGTAAGAATGAGGCCGTCAAACACAACTATGCATAATAAAAATCAAGAGGGTATGAAAAACGAGTTATTCATTGCACCTGCCTACAAGTTGAGACCAAAAATAAACATGACTGGTTTCAACTGACACAAGTGACATTGTTTCAACAGACTACATATCAGATGAGATTCACTTTAATGCCGTCAACATTTTTTCAGCTTAAGTTTTGGTATTTGACATTATCCTGAACAATATTTATACTTAGTTATTAACTTATATTCACATTCTTTTAAATGTGTTGACTTTCACGGATGTGTTTCCGTTAAATTTTTACTGAAATTGTACGGTACTACCGAATTGCGTGACTCATGAAACAACATCGGACAATTAAAGTCCATTATTGACAAGATGAAAATAAGTATTTTGAAGTTATGATTGTTTGTGCGAGGAAAAATATGTTAGAACAGCTTCACAGTTCTTATATGCATGTTAATCTAATCGCAGACTCGGAAAGATGCCACATCTTTCATATGAAGCAAAAGACAGTCCTGATTTTACGATGAATATATTTTATGAAAGTATTCTTAATATTATGGACTCGCCAATCAGTCACTGATGTCATGCAGTGTGAGCGAAATTGAATATTGACATTTCAGTAGCGTTATCACGTGAGAGTTGACAGACTTTCGTTGACCCTTAAGTGCTATATGTTCAATTATTGATTCGACTACTCGTGTTAAAGTTATAATAGCTCGACCGAATTACTGGAATTGCTCAACACTTAATCACATTCAAAGATAAATCAGTTGACATTGTGCCAAGTTAATTTTTCCGGCTGGCTTGATCAGTTTAGGTGATTTAAATATCTATTTAGGCGAGTACATGGAATAGCGCGACTACTAGACACATTAGTGATGATAATGCATAATTAAGAATTCATAGATGAAAATCCGAAAAATATCTTGCTTGAGTATTGAGTTATTGGATGATCTTTTGTGCACAAAATTCCAACAAACACATGTATTAAACCTATCTATTCGTGCTTCATTTATGGGTATATGAGTAGATTCAACAATCTGTTTGAAAGCTGATATATATTTTGCTGGTAATAGCTAAACTGACTAGTGTTTTTAATATAACGTAGTTCATCGTGGCTGACACTATTGGCAGATACACAGTTTAGTGGTTCAAATGGTTTTTCCATTGTTTAAGGATTGACACGCATCCACATACAACTAACTGCCTTCTTGGATCTATGTCGTTTATGTAGTCTCCATAAATTAATTTTTGACAACCTTGGAATAAATGTGGGCATCGGTTCAGTCCGTTTTCCATCCATCATCATTTAAAATGTACTCATCTCTTAGTGATTTATCCTTTCCAATAGAAAGATAGCAGAACTGAATGTTCCTTTCTTGTAGACAAATTTATGTCGTTTATCCCACGATCACAGAATGATTTCTTCACAACTGCCAAATCACGATGTTTAATTATTGTGTATCTATGCTAAATAATAAACTGTGAAAGCGATGACGAGTTTTTCTTGATGACGACTGTAAGTTATCACTCGGTGAACTTGATGTCAGTTTAAAAAGTGTGATCATTCTCCTGTGATCAGTAGAAAGTCGCGCTCATGATCGACTGAAATCGTACGCAATATTATCTCAGAATACCGCTACTCGTTTGGAATTGTTGTTAATTTTAACGTGGTAAACATTGAACTGCCTTAAATTTCTATCTGGTTCAATTCTCCCTATTAATGTTTAAAATAGTATTGCTTCTTATAATTAACTTATCTGGTATACTTCTTTGTGATAATTTTGCATTTTATAACTACTGTGATTTGCATAACCCTGTTATTTAGACGCGTTACTGGACCAGACGATATATAAGCAGATGAAAACATGACACACAATAAATCCAAATGATCTAAATCTGGCTTTTCAGGTGGCAACACTAGGAAAAATTTAGTTAAAGAACATTCGTCACCTAACTACGATAATACTACACTAACTGTTCAACATGCCAACCCTGAAATCGGGATTCCTTTCTTCAATTTTCGAATACCATACATGATGTAGAAAATAGCTTGATTGGGTAAGTGGGGCACTGTAGTGACAAAGGACTGAGATATTGATGGGATCAGTAATGAAATAAGTAAGGATGCAACACAACAAATACACGTAAGAAACAATCAGAACAGGTAAAGTTGTCACCACAATTCCAATGTAACGGTAAAGTAACCCTCAATATAAATAGTTCTGTAATCATTCAATACTGATACTGACCGTAGTTTTAATGAACACACCCTTGCATAAGACGCAGGATCAATTATTCACTCCAGATCACGATAGAGTAGGCCAAGCAACGCACACCCATCTCTGATCGAACGCTTCTCAACATATCGACCACCTTTCTAATTATATCTTCAAACTCATTCATTCCGAACTTCTAATTTAACTGGATCGATATCCTTTGATTGTAAAGGTGTTATGACCAAAAGTATTGTCAAACTCTGAATATCTCTGGCATCTCTACTAGCTGGAAGGCTAAAAAAAGACACAAAACACGAACAACAATAAGAAAACATGGAGCTTTGATGCAATCAAGTAATGAAGCGGAACTCTACATAACTGAGAAATATGCGTAAATGCATATGCACAAATAGTGCTTGAATAAAAACACTGTGTCTCTCTACGTAAGCAACCCAGGACAGAGTCATTAAAAATCAGCACCAAATATGAGACTGACGATAAAAAGAATAAACTAATTTTGTCTAGTAATAGCATCATCACTCTAATTACATTGGTAACCACCTAGTCCATAGTCTCGCTACTATTCTATCTAGATGTCTTTTCGCATTAAAGATACTTTGCGAAGTGTCCGAAAACCCATGTCAAGAACAGCATGGACTCACTACGCGACAGATCTGAGTACAATCAACCAAATACATCGGATAGCACAACATCACCGAAAATTGTAAGAAATCTAGAGAAGCGGAACTGGATTTGTGGCACTAAAAAAGTGTACAACAAGGTATTTTCGACCGTTTCACAGAAAACAGGTAAATGCTCATCTAGACGTTTCATCGTGTTGCTTTTCAGGTAACGATGGTTTGTTCACGCCCTACAAATAATAGATTGACTACACAGAACGATCGCTCAAGTTGCTAAGCATATCTACCATACTAAATGTAGAATTACGTATAAATGATTACGAACTGTATCCAGAAAAGAATGTGGTAATAATAATTACTTATTCTCAGATAACAGCCCATTACATGAGGATTGCCAGGTTACAGGCAAGATCAAATTGTTGCACGAGACACAGTCTTTACTGCAGTGGCCTAGTCAGTGAGAATAATATGTCGTAAGGTTCATTGTTTAAATTATAATGGGGAAAACACTTCTCACATATGAATGCGCATAATAATAGTAATGGTCGTATTGTGGATATGAGATTCAGTGCGCTTAATGAGGGCCGTGTTGCGACGTGCAACTGATTGTTGACATTAAATCCACGTAAGGCTGAGAGCTTCTATAAACCGTGACTTTATATCCCTCTGAAACATCTAAGGCATTAACGATATTTTAAGACGGCTGAGAACGTGAGCAATAAAAAGAAAGGTCGAGAGACAAATCAAATAGTTTTCATGTTTACTGAGTTATACTCATTTTTGTAGGAATTGTAATGGTATGACCACATAGCCTAATTCACTTTTCTTAAGATACACTTTAGGCAAGAGAAGTCTACTAAATTAAAGAAAATAAGCTTAAAAGACATGTGGGCGGATGAAGAGTTATAAAAATGGTGTTTCAAAAAGAAACTTCAAATATAGTTGAAGTGCATAGTTTTGAAATATAAATCTCAGAACATTATACTGATACGAAAATGGCTCTCTCCCATTTTGTTGAAGTCATTTCAGATCATTTTTATTTTTATCGACTATATAGTGATATGAGAAAACTTTCTTTTAAACAAATGTTCTAGTTTTGTTTGCAGTAGGAAGCATTTATGGGAGGCGAGTCGAATTCAGTTTTAAAAACACAATTCAAAGCGTTATTTTGTACGATAAATCAGCATCAGTACTATTGGTTAATAACATGACACTTGATCATAAGGAGTTGTAATTTCACATGTACTGTCCTACAGAAACGGGTGAATTGGAGTTATTTCCCCACCATCGTGTTTGCTAGTCGCTAACGCCACTTATACTTATGGAGATATTCGAAGTGTCACTAGATCCAGGCGTTTACCTGAGTAAATGAGAAACCGGCTACATTATTTCCCAGAAATTACATTGTGGACAAAACGGATGGCGCTAATTATAGAGGTATAATCATCACAGGTTATTTCAGAAATCATGGAGAGTGTTGAAATATATTGTATCTCAGATTACTTAGTAACGCAAAATCTTATCTCTAAGTCACCACACGGTATCTTGTGCATGGCTTGATACTTTCAACTTAAAGAGCACAGCGCATTATCGCAGATTACATAAGAGAGCTATAACCCTTCATTCAGATAAAATCTGGCCATTTGACGAAGCATCATAATGTGTGTAATTTCAGAAACTCTAATCAGTAAGAATTCACGATCACTTACTAGGTAAGCCAAAATCGTTCTTGGATAATCGGCATCGAAATACCACGGTTAATTCGAAAACAGTCAGCACCCCTTAAAGAATTACTAATAGGTTTACTTTTGGGTATGAGATCATTACTTATATTACGAAAAGCAGAAATATATGTACATTTATTACAAGTGAAAATACTACAATCGTGGAATCCATCCTTCATTTTTGTAGTATAGATGAGTGTATTATTGTCGACACAAATCACAATTCTACAAATATATGAATACGTCTTTTGTTGTATAATTTTAGCAGTGTTATGTATTGAATCTCTGTGTCATGAGTAGACTACATCATGACCATCACTGTGCAGTAGCAGCTACAAACTCGATGGATGAATGTTGCCTGTAGCTCATTCCCAACTGTAAACCTATTAGTAATTCTTTAAGGGGTGCTGGTGTTTTCTAGTTAACCATCGTATTTCGATGCCGATTATCCAAGAACGATTTAGGCTTACCTACTAAGTCGTCGTGCATTCATAAAGAATATAGGATGTTGAAGCGCGGACTTTCTA